GAATTAAGTTAACGACATCTGTTAATCAAATGATAGACAGAAAAACAGTTGGATGCCGGCTCAGTGATCTAATTGGTTAAGCGTCTGGTGCGAGACTGATAGGTCCTGGGTTCAAACCACGCGGTGGGCGGGATCGTGGATGCGCACTGCCGAGGAGTCCCATACTAGGGCAAAAGAGCCGTCCAGTGCTCCCAGGTTTTTCATGGTGGTCTAGCTTTAATTGACTCATGATTTCAACCAGAGAAAAACAGTAGTTGAATATCATAAACTTAACTAATCATAGAAATTTCACTTATAGATGGAAATTAGAAATAACATTGAAAACTTTACTTGGTAACATAGTAATATTATGAGGGGGTTTCTTTTGAAAGCACATAGGAAAACCAAACAAACAATTTATGCTATACACTTAGAAATTCCAGTACTATGCCTAAAACATTATAATGCACTATAAGAATAGACAAGCTTTCATTATTTATCAGTATAAGGTTATGGAGATTATTACGTTTTTGATTGAGATCATGAACCGATTGATGTTAGACCATCATTGAAAAACATGGAAGTACTAGACGGCAGTTTTGTCTTATTGTTGGACTCCTCAACAGTGCGCATCCATGATCTCGCGAGCGAAATTCGAACCCAGGGCCTCTAGTCTCGCGTGCGAACACTTAACCGGCATCCAAACATGTTAATGTCTAACCTCAACCAGTCCACGAAATTGCGCAACTATCTTCCATTGTACTGAGGTAGATACATTTTTCTATCCAACATGGATTAACTCCACTGATCACTGCTTCGCATTAGAATTCTGAGAATTCCCTTATGAAACTATTCACTAATAAGTACATGGTAATTATCAGTATAGGGTAGTAGGGATCATTAAGTTTTTTTTATTAAGATTATGAACCGATTGATGTTAGGGCATTATTGAGAACCTGGAAGAACTGAACGGTCGTTTCGTTCTGCTATGAGACTCCTTAGCAATATTTCACTAAGAACTAATATTCAAAATCTTACTCATCTACTAGAACAATTTATAGAATACATAATAAACACATTTAATATTAAATTTATGAAAATAGTTATTCAATTTCAGTGAACTCTTATTGTATATTATTAAATAACATTTGTGATTGATGACAGATTTATCGAACAGTAATGATGATTATATTATATATGCTACATTAAATACATTGGAAATATGAATACATATTAAAATGTACTATTTTAATGACAATTACAACTACATGTTTAGTGAAATAGTATATACATAATAGTTGATCATTATTTCAGAGGTTTATACATTAGAAATATAGCTTATTGAATATTATAAACATATTAATAGTTTTGGTATAAACAGATTTTTGTTTAAAGTTTATGTCTGTAAACGTGCATGTAATTAAAATGTCTACAGATTATGTGTATTCTAAGGTCTTACTCACTGCCTTCTCATGGTGAGTGTGTTCTTTATGAAATTGAGAGGACGAAAAGCGAATATCCGGTGCTTTAATCGGGTTGGTGGACATGGAGAAACCATATACATGAGTTGGAAAACCCTGATTCCAAACCAATGGTGCACATAGGCTCCAGGATCCTAAAAGAACAAATGGCGTATGAACCAATCGTTGGTCACCGGCTACCATGTGACTGCATCTTCTTACGTTGCCCCACTGCCTCCGGGTTTGGCCCCCTAAGAAAACCACCTGCTTCGGTTTGGGCACCCGGACAGTATCACAGCTCTCTCACGTATCAAATGAGATTGTGTGGTGCATATGTATTTGATGCCTCCTTGTACCAATATATATGTGTTAAAATAAATAAAAAATATTCAAAGGTACGGTGGTGATCATGCTCATATAACTCATCAGTCAGTCAGCTACAACATAGGATAAGGGACATATATGCATCAGTTTAAGTTGCCATACCTCATTAACACAACAAGATGAACACCGGATTCATAAAAGTAGTTAATTCAATGGTGGTAATATATAAAAGAAAGATTGCATATAAAGATATGGTACAGGAAGAAAGAATTAGTTCGTAGAAAGAAAGATATGAAGCGATTTTAATCTCACGGCTTAGAAGAAGACAAGAGTGTATACACTTATGCCATTGCGATAGATTCTGAGCCATTTCACTCAGAATCTCCAACCATTGGTTACGATAGTCACGCAGACCCCAACCAAGTATAACTCATATAAATTTATTTAATTCAACGAGACTATTGAATACGATAATTAGTTTGGGGATAGTGTAGATAGTAAGTTTGACAATTCATTTGTATTTACACATCGCTCATCTTTTAAGTGATTAAACATATTCAGCGAATGATGTACTCATATAAAATGCTTAGAACATATCGTGAAGCTGATAACTGTAAAATTCAAACTCAAACACCGCCACTACGGTGGTCAGCATACACTCCTACATGTCTATCCCTTAATCTTACTACTCTTGAATTAATATTAGTTACATCTCGTTAAGCTAATGTAGTGTGATAAATTGGACCGGTGAATATATGTTCCAGGTTCTATGATGGATATAACTGATATATTTGTCCTTAAGAAGAGCGAGAGAGGATTACATTGGTGTTTGTGCCTTTAATATGTAATGCGAAGACAAATTCGCCATTGAAGTTAGGTTAGCTTGAAAAATTTGCAAATAACAGTCTATCAGTGTTGAGAAACATCATTTTATATATTAGTTCGGAAATTCCCAACTGGAATGGGCATAAGACTGCAAGTTGTTGTGATATTGCATATTTTGTCCTCAAAAGTCTTTCCTGTGATAAAACGTATGGTGTATAATGAAGGAAATACTGTCACTACATATATTAAATTTGAGTTTACTGTTTTATAATTATCGGATGGATAAAGAAAACAGTAGACTCACAACGTATTGGACAATAATACTATATACATGAACGCATATTTGACATACAATTTAAACTTTGTACTTTTCTGCGATTATTGGCAAGATAGATGTACAGCTTTATTTTATTGAAATGTGAAGCTAAATGCTTCAACGAATACTATCCAGTAAACATTATAATCACTGAAATAGTGCACACATCCTGATCAAAACATTTCAGTCAGTAGTTGAGCTATAGTTTGTACGCAAGACAATTCATTTACCAAATGAATGTTAATGTATTCAGTTCTCATCCATACTGTCTTAGCATATTGAGAATTGTAAGATTTAGGAAGAACAGGGTTAGAGCTTACTGATTGAAATTCGAGGGTTTTAACCCCAGATGGAGACACTGAATGATATTACTAAGAATTAGCCTCAGTGAAGCATTCATCCTTTGTTTTCATCTAGATCATGAGTTTTAATATTATTCCATGCATTTTACTACTTGAATTTATTCCTTCTTCATGAACCATATTTTCTAGGTTTGATATTATTTACTATCATTGATACTACTAATATTTCAACTCCTTTGGTGTACTGATGTAATGTGACAACTTAGAACGAAGGGCATTTGCATCAGGTTATGACTGACTGATTGTGAGATCCTTGATCGTAACACATAAGACAACCCAGTAAGTCTATTTTAGAAGATTTCCAAAGTAATACCATTCCAATTCAGGTAGGTGTAAGGTTAGTTATATTCATGTACTGACACCAACAATCACATTTACGTGACGCAAATTAAAATCTTGTATATCGCAATATCTCATGAAAAATCAGACGCCTCACGGTTTTATTTAACATAAAATTTTGTTAACTGAAACACTGCGTCATACTTCGTAAAAATTTAAGGCGGTGTAATTGCTTTTTAAATCCTCGATACATCGTTTATGTCAATTACACTAGTTCCTGGTTTTAAAATCACAGCAACCTAATAATATCGGAGAATTTAACTTGGAGGACTTTAGTAAAAAGAAACCCAATAATCAAGTTACATAATAAATAGGCCAGAAAACCAATAAAACACAAACAAACGGAAACTCAATCGCTATATTTCTAGCAGCTAAATCACATAAGTTGTGAGGAAGATTCAGTCAACCAGTAAGCAACAACGTAGAACTTCGTACGTACGTACATCAGTTCACGTTGCCATACCACATTAACACACAGATACAATTGTCGATTCAAATCCAAAAGTGGTAGAGGTGGTAAAAGTATAGGCAATAATCGGAAAGACTGCGGTTTGAAGATGTTACTCAAGAAGTACAACCCAGTGAAATAAACTTGGAAAGAAAAATTCAGAAACTTAGAATTTGGGAGAACACAAAGAGTGTATGCACCTGCACCATTGCAAACAATTTTGAGTCACGTCACTCAAGCTCTCTTACCATCGGTTGCTATCATCTCGCGGATTCCAAACAGATAGTCTACACCTACCAACATGGCTCAGTCCATTTGTCAGTGACTTCATGGATTTGTGTCATGTTTTGGTTTGACCTCCTCTTTCTTTCTTCCAACCTACTCCTACACCATAAAACATCGCACGTCGGGGCAGTCGGTTGTTGGACATACGTAACACGTGTAGCAACCATCTCAACTGATGAAGTTCCACTACTTCATCATTTGAATTACCATATTTATGTAGTACCTGTTTCCTAACAACTGCATTACTTACTCGATTCCAGAGTTTTGCCAAAAAGAAGGAGTGTTCCGAATAGAGTACGTTTGTATGAACTTAGTTTGCATAATTATTGGACAAAAAACGTATAATCATCGGTATGGAGATTGTATTATTTTTAAATCTGAATTCAAGAGTCACCAACACTGAAAATCTGGGAGCACCGGACGGCCGTTTTGTTCTAGTATGAGACTCCTCAGCAATGTGAAATGCTTCGAAGACACCTATGATCGAATACTAGTAACCTACGAATATCCTCTACTCTTATCGGACGATTAGAAACTTGTACAAGTATTTAGAAAAGTCTGAGACAAAACTCGAAGTTTTATTCGACACGATAAAACTCTAAAACGAGCAACGAAGTCAACAAATTTATGTACAGTTACTGAGGTGAATATTTGATTTTGTTTTACTGTTTAACTAATTCTTCACGATTCAACTCAAATAGTCTAAGTGTTAAACGTTGGTTCATTTTGGCGAATTTTTCTGTACATTTATTGACGCATTCGGTCTATAAGGTAAAAAGAAAAAGAGAGAATTACCCTTGACATAAAATAAAACCATACCTCCTTATCATTTAATTTACGTGAAGTAAAATTGCTAACACATCGATCGAAGCATATTGTACTGCATCGAACATACAATTCAGATGTTTCTTTGATTTGCATCTACAAACAAACGAGGACAGTGGGGCAAGTATAATTGCAGTGTATTATAACTGACTGATTAAAATGAATAAAATATGAAATAAAGTGATGAAAGAAATATGGACAATAAGTTACATCGATAATAACGTACAGTTCATCGCATGAAGAAAAGAAGATTAACAAATAATACTAAGATAATCGTATCAGCTTTTAGGTAGACATAATAAGAACGCAGCGATAAAACGTTGGAAATGTGTAATAAATTTAAGTTTTGTCAAACACGTAATTAATCTTGAACTATAATTCATCTAAATTAAATATTGCCCATTTACCAAGTCAAGGTCTATGTGGCCAATTTCGAACCATACTACCTTCATCAGTTGCCCGAGATGGCGCAGATAAAACTCGACCTTAATCTGTGATCTAATGACTGTAAGTCAAGTGGTTGAGAGAAAGAGAATTCCTAATCACTGCCTTCTCGCACCACGGGTGTTGTTTATGAAATCGAGAGGACAAAAAGCGAGTGGGCGGCGCGCTTCAACGGGGTTGATGGATATGGAGGACCAACTTAGGGGAGTTGGAAACAAATGACGTGCGAATTTGTTGGTCACTGGCTATCCCGGGACTGAATCTCCTTATGGCTCAGATATTTAGGTCGAAGGCTCCGGGTTTGGCCTCCTAAGAAAACCACCTACTTCGGTTTGGGCACCCGAGCAGTATCACAGGTCACACAAAAAACAAGTGACTTGTGTGGTGCATATGCATGTGGTGCCCCTTTGTACCAATATTTGTGTTCAAATAAATAAATAATCCTGACTTATGAGGGGATTATCAGTCATATAGCTCGGCGAATGTGGTAATGGTTTACGATCAAAAAGTGATGTGGTATCATCTTCAATCGGGTGCCCAAAGCAACACACTAGAAAATAAACAAATAGACATACTCTAGCATATCTGTGCTTCGTTCTTCTGCTCCATTGTGTTTATATGGATTATCATATATCTCAACTCATTTTACCGATGTTTGTATCCAGCCACTTCTGTGACAAACCTATTGAGTCACATTATAGCACATGCCAGAGTTTTGAACTAAATCGGTGAATTTGGAAAACGCCATCAACAAGTTGTTCCAAAACTGAGTGGTAAAACGGATGTGTGCAAAAGGTAACTTAATCCCAGTTGAACTACGAAGTATGATTCGATGGGAAGATCCGGAGACTACCTATTTGATTAGTTTGCTACGATTCAGTCTTAGGCTGAAAAATTAATTTGCCATAGGACCCTAAAAATTGTACTATATCACTTTCATTTACATTATGTGTGCTGTAAACGGAGGCGCACCAAAAGTAACAAGGGTGAAGGAAAATTAGTATGATAGTCAACTAAGTACTCGCTCAATATACAGCCTACATTGTCCAAGCACTTTCTAAATGACTTGTGATAGATTTAAGTCGCGAAATTTGGTCATATATATCAACATGAAAAACCAATAGAACCAAATGAAACAAGCTAACAATTACTTTGTTTAGATATTCGCTCATTTCCTCGTCCATCTTGTTTGACAGTTAAATTTGATGAGAGATGATTGAAAATTCGATTTCGGCTAGAGCACCTCAGAACCACATGTTGTAGCACATTGTTTCTTTTCGCGATCGATAGACATGTGTCCAATAGGTCGTGGGTGAAATAGAAGAAATTTTGCCAAATGAGCTTCACAATTAGCAGCAGCAGCAGCAGAAAGTCACGATTTTGATTAAATTTATGTGCAGATTGTTTAAAATGACCTCTTACTTTTATTATTGCGCGGTATTTAAAAAGAACAATGGTATTTCAACTCTGACTATATTTTATTGTATTGATCGTTTAATTTCGAATCGAGACTACTGTTTTTGCTTTACTTTAATTTATTTCAGGTAAAGTAATCTCCAAAAAGTATATGTTTTTTCTAGAGCAGTCTGTCATCTGTACTTTTGAGTTCATATGCAAAAAAACCAAAGGACTGGTATTTATTCCTCATTGTTGAGTATATCTTTGAGTATTGTTTGTATCCGTAGGTTCTAAGGTCTTTTTGTAACTACCAAAGTCGAATTTTTTATTGTTGTTAGACACATCTATTTATATGTAAACATAAAACAAATTTATGGCGAGACTGAAACGTAGTTTTTGCCGACCTCCATGCTATTTCTCTGTCGATGATAGGATGCGATGTGATAGCTGCAACAAGTGCGTACCGGACTCCCACTGTCTGCATATAAACGGTGGTGTAACCCATTACCACGTTGGTTGTGTGAGGAATGTTGTTCTACATACTCTCTGCTAATTCTAAGGGCGATTGAGCTGCTAAACATAGCTAGAAAATTGCCGTCAGATCTTCGAATAGGGAGCCAAGGGCAAGATTTGAGTATTGCCTCAGTCATATTAGGTCTTGATAATCAAGCTTCTCCAATAACAGTTTTAGGAGTTGACATCTGTAAGCTATAAAAAATGGGATAAAGGTGCATTCTAAAAGTACTCAGAAAGCCTCCTCTTGCAGGTTACTTTTGCTGCTGGTACTAGGAAACTCATGGAAACTGATTGGATCCGGAATATACGTCCGTGAGGATCTCAGTCTAGTTTATTGCATTAAGAGACGAGCTGCAGAAATGGAAATAAACGAGCGCCGCTGAAACGGTGAAAGAAAACTTGTTCTTAAGAGTTTTCAGACTGTAAAAGTTCAGGGCAAAACGATCCCCAAACCACTCTGGGTGGTAAGGGATGGCCCTCTACGGAATTAGAAGTATGCTACACAAATGTTGGCAGCCCACTAAATAAAAAGGCGGAGCTCAGGACAGTGGTGGATAAAGAAAAACCGGATGTTATTGCTCAAATAGTTCAAATGGTTCAAACGGTTGTGGACGAATTAGAAGAAGATTTCGCTTAACAAGCTTCCGTTTCTAGTAGCAGGGAATCAACAATACTCATAATAAGATGTTATCCTTAGTCTTTAACAATAGGTCAAGTTTCCTAGTAAAGGACTCCCGAAAATTCGCTCGGGCTAGTTCATTTGGCAGCGAATTTCAGCATTTGACAACTCCTAAGGAGAAGACGTCTTGTCTACAGACCGTTCTGCCATGTTGTATCTCCAATTTCTGGTTGTTGCCCCTTAGGTTTGTATTGGGACTAAGCCTAAGTAGGTGTTTAAGGGATGTCCAGAAGTGTTAAGGATACTGTAAGCCATCAGAAGGTCACCTCTAAGATGCCTATACTCTAATGGGTAAAGGTCAAGCCATTGGAGGCGCTCTTCATAAGGTTTGAATTTGAGTACCCGAACTGATTTCCCGGCTCGCCGTTGAATGTTTACGGCTACTCCAACCCCAATTCCTGTTTTTCTTTCTTTGCGGAACAAAGGCATCTCAGGTATTGCTAGCTTCTCGTCCGTAAACTGAGAAGATATCCACTTTCAGATATTGCTATCAGTTGAGCATTATTAGCATTGCTAAAATCACATAGTATATGCATTTTATTTGGTAACCTCGTGGAGTCCATGTATAAGCAGTTTATTCTTTCAAGTTGAAACGCGTGAGCTTCTTCCTGTTTGTCTGTGTGAGCATTACGTGAATGGACAGGTAGCCTACCTATATGAGTTTTGCCGAGTTGAAAAACCCTGTCCTTTACACGTCTTTTTACAATCAAGACAGTCCAAAGGTGGAATGGTTAGCTCCAGCTTGCCTTTGTGCTTGATCCTGGCGTCATGTGGCCTATCCGGGTGCATATGAACTCCAGTTGCCAACCGACGTCTGTTGGCACGAAATGCTTCAGAGTTGCAGCCGCCATATTGGAGGATGGGACGGTTATCCTCATTAGCCGGGTCTAGAATCACTGTCCTTCTTAGCTAGTCTCATCACATGTTGAGTCAGTATGTTTTTGAGCCTCAAGGACTGCTCGATGAATTGCCATTCCCTAATAACAGAGTTTGCTTGACTAGGGCCCGTGTTTTCCGGTACACCTCGCACAACGATATTTCTCCTGCGGAAAAACTTCTCGCGAGATTCTTTAGGGATGTTTCGGATGAGACTACGCACAGAATACGGTATGTCAGGCAGTATTCTTACGTTCCCATCGAATTTCAGTAAATGACTAGCTAGCAGGACATCCTCTACGTCGGTAGCATTCCTAATTGTTACATGAAGTACTCTCGGGTGATTTTTATGTTTAGATTCATTTTTCAGTGTAGGCCGTGTGACCGTCATAGGCTCTACTCTAGGAAGTTCGAGCTTATTGTTCAATTCGCCCCAGAGCATCCTGTCATTTTTGTTCTTCAAACTGAGAGGAAGGTCAGGGTTGTCTAGGAGGTTCATGATTACGAGAGAGTCATCACGAACAACAATCGGATGTTCAGCTTAAACGGTAACGCCTGGTCCTTTTTAGCTCTGTTAACGTGAGTCCTATCACCCTAAGAGTTTTTGAGAACAACCGTTGCATTCGAGAACCCTGAGCTGGAGGGCCCGAGTTTGCTGAGGGGGTCTATTACCGTCGACGTTATGATTTGTGCTGAGATTCATCATGTCATCACTAGTGCTAATGCGTGCTCCATCGATAGTAGACCTGTCGACATTCCTATTCTTGTTTTCGTTGCGCGTCCTTGTTTGTCTACCCGTTTTATGACTGTCGTTTTCCAAGTTTGCTGACAACTTACTTCGCAAACCTGTCAGTAGGACAATGATGTTACTCAACAAAACTACAGGATCCGTGCTGCACGTAATATGTACCCTGTTATGATCTGACTTTCTGAGTTTGTTGTAAGCGGTTGCTGTGAGATCTATGCACGCTTCGTGGAACCGGCCCTTGCAGCTGTCGCACTGCATGCCAGATGTAACAGCAAAACGGCACCCAGGTCGTGTGCATGAGTTTTTCATGACTATATTGACGTAAAGTGTATAATAGATGCTAGTAAAAGCCTTAAACCGTTAAAATACACTAAAAGCACACTGAAAACGGAAAAATTGATAAAAACGGGTGAGATAAATTGAACTAGCCTTTACGTGAAAAATCAAACAAACCGATTAGTAAGCTGAGGCAAAACCACAGTTAACTGTTAAATTTGGTAAAACTCGAAAAATAATCTGCCGAACGTATAGCTCAGAACAGATTCTTTAGTTGCGTAAGGACGCGCCAAAAGTTTTGGGAAGCGTAAATCACGTTGGGACTAAACTTCCCGTTCGAAGAGCGCTGTCTCAGAATCATGGTTAACGTCAAAGTTCCTTGATAACGATATTCCGTTGACGGGTTATTTTATCCAGTAGGACCAAGGATTAAAACGTGGAGGAAGCGCGGTGTTACTGTGCACGAAAAGTACCTTAACAATACGAGAAATTTAGATGTTGTCACATGATACATAGCCATGTGAACTGTTGCTCTGCAAGCTGACATGTAGGTGGCAAGATATTGAATTGGTTGTAGTATATCGCAGTCTAAAATGTGTAGTAGATGACTTTCTCCTAAGAAAACTTAATTCCTGGTGTAATTAGGGTCGAAAGATTATAGTAGACGACTTTAATGCGCCGTATATAAACTGAGTAATTTTAGAAACAGGGTCATTGATATCATCATTCGATTGCAAACTGTTAGAAGCTTCGATTGCATTAGCTTTATTACAACACACTGGAGATTTAATCGGAAATGACTTGCGATGCTTCTCGTCTCTCTAGGATTTAGTTTTCACACACTTTGATGATGTCGGCCAAATGAACCTCCCTCACCGCTAGGGAGAATCGATCATGCAGTCGTATCATTCAAATTCATGGCTGAGGTTTCCTGTCGAACAATTGCTTCGGCTCGTCCTAATATGGAGGCCATCAACTAAACAGCATCGACTGAAAGCTGAAAAATTGACTCAAGACATCAATATAAGAGGCATGGACTCATTTCAGACAGTTATACCAACGGGTAACTTAACCACTTATACCCTGGACAGTTCCGAAGAAGTAGAGGAAGTACGACCGTCTCTGGATAGTCCGAGATATTCGACACTTACTGAGACAAAAAGAGAAATGTTGGAACTTTGCCATTAGCCTTGACACAGCAAGTACTATGGAACGCTACAGGATGGTAAGAAATAAGTGTATAATTGAAATTCAGGAAGCTCAGAAAAAATATGAGATGCATTTAGCCCAATTTGCAATTAAGCTGCCTAAGAGATTATTCTAGCATAAAAATTGCAGAACAAGGATGCATCGAAAGACCGTTTGGTGGAATGATAACGTTAAATATTAGAGAAACTTACTGATTTGAACCATCTGTACCCAGTAACAAAGAAAATATAATAATCACCTGACGAACACAAAATATATTCAGAGTGCACTGATTGGAGTGTTGTGCTGATAAGTTAAATCTCTTATCACGGAAAAGACTTCAACGAGTATACTACACTAAATTACGATATTGAAAATCGGAACTTATCTCCAAGACAACACTCTACATGGTACGTATTTAAAACATAACGTTTCTAAGTGTTTCTATCCGTTGTTTTTTAACAAATAATATTGAGACGTTTTAGAATAGGTAAAGTAAGCTTCGTATGTACGTTTGGAATAATATTTTCGCTTCTCGAAGTTTGATCGTTAATTGAGTGCATCATTCGCAGTACGAACCACTCCATGCATTATTTTCTTGTCTCAAAGCAATGTTAATTCTATATGTTCTTTTGAGTTGGGACAAAATATTGAGAGGTGAGAAACAATATTAGCTTTAAAGTACGCTACATGCTCGTAAAAAGTAAGACTCATATAACTTCATCTTACATTTTAAGAAGCCAGATTAAATTAATATGTATTGACTAAAAGAACTGAAACAAAAAGATATTACCAAAAAAGCGTGTATCTCATTTGATTATGTTCATTATTATTATTGTTAAGAAATATGAACCGTTTATTATCAAGCAGAATTAAAATAAGCAAAGAAATTATTGATCAAAATAAAGATGGATAAAGTTCACCATTGAAAGAGATGCATAAATTTTAAGAACATTATAATGAAACTTTTGGGGAATATTCCAGATGGCTATTTCAGGGTTGATTATATTGCTCGTTTAAGTATCAATGAAAAAAGGTTTGACTACGAAAGCTTCTCTGAGTTTGTAATCGCCCTTTATATCTGTTCAAGACAATTGTAAATTACTTTCAGCCACATAGTTTGATTGATATTCATAGTGAAAGTGCGTTCATATCCGTAATTAAATTTAGTCATGATATTCCATGACCATTAAAACGAAACAAAAAATAGACTAAAGCTGTTTAGTCCATCGATAAATATCAGTAATATATATCCAATTCGAGTCAGCAAAGACTATCACGTCTTATTTTTTGTATTTCAGACATTCAGCCTGTTCAAACCATGTTTTCCCCCTATATTTACCAATTGACACGTAGTTCGGGATTTTCTACTGTTAGTCTGACCTTTTGTTTTCAAGTGATGGATTTAACCATTAGATTTAATCAATGATAAATTGCATGAACTGTTCTTTAAAGATATGGCGTATGGAATATGTTGGTCATTTTTGATAGTCCGATGGGGCGGCTTTTAGCTTATTTTATTTACCGTATACTGAAAATTTGGTCAATGAATATATAGAGATTACATATTATTCACACACAACAAAAGCGTATACTCTATTTCTATCCCATATTTTGTATATATTACACTCAAATAACTTATAAGGACTTCGTCAATCTACTTAATCTTAAAAACTGTCCAACACTATGTTTAAAATTCATTTAGAGAACCGGTTGTCAATAGACATTGATCCCTATAATCTCTTTGCTTAAACAACATGTTTTTAAAGAATTTCATAATGGAATACAGCTCCAGATGGAATAAGGCAGCAAATAAAACACTTTTTTATGTTGAGATCTGGATGCTATGAATGGTGTAGATACTGTGTGTTCAACATAAACTCGAAGGTTATATTTCACTCAATACATCATTTTTGGTTTTTTGGCGTTTTATTACATCCGAACCTATGCAGCAGATTTTCTTACACCTGCTATTTATGAATATGTAGTAGAAAAGAAATAACTGAGAGTTTGGAAGAGTTAAAAACCAATGATTTTGCTCTTAAGTAAATTAAATGAGTTATAATCTATTGAGTAACGCTGATATTTAGTGGTAAGAAATTTAGACCTGTACTGACTACCGTGCTTCGTTGTTTATATTCTAATACTTTTCAGCCACTTTTTAAAGCCAGTTTTACGCGATTTATCTCTGATTCTATATTGTGACTAGCATCGAATGTTTAATAGAGTTATTGCTTCTCGGTTGAGGACGTATAACACTCTTGTTAATTCTTTGCACACAATTTAAACTTAACACGAAGTACATATGTCTAAAATAAATAGAAATAGAACTCAATATTACCTATCTTTTGTTGTAATATGCGATATCCGAGACTTGGGACTGATGTGAAAATTTTCTATAAACAAACTTGACCACTTGAGATTACGTAGGACGAAAGGGAAGAAATTTATTTCATTAACCGGATCAAGAGACTGTGCACCCCTTAGAATATTAGGCCTCCCGGTGGTTCACGTTTTCAATCTTATGCCGTAAGTTCATTTCTTTCCCAGTCAGGTAAATATGTTATTTTTAAGATGTCCGATTATCAGAATGTATTATTTTTACAAAGGTTTAAAGTAAAAGCTAAGTCTGATTTAAGTGCTTCGCAAAGTCTATTCAGTTTGTTACATTTGCCATTATAATTGTATTAATTGTACGTTAACCCGTCTTTAAAATTCAAAAGGGTTGCTTTTATAACTTCGCCACCAGGTTACCATAGCCTACTTTGTGTGTGCATGGGGTGTTCTTAACCATAGGTTTTCTTATTGTAGGGTTATTTATCGTACGTAGTATTTCGGAGTTTCTATGTCAGCATTCATTAGTGGGAGGCTGAGTCTTTTCATTCTATTAGTTAGCTTTTACATTCAGATAACAACTTATTCCTTACCTTTATTCTAGTTTTAAAGAGCCGTTTTGACAGATATATAGTAAATTTCGCATCTAAACATTTAGCTTAGTGTTTTGAGTATGTATACAAATATACAGGCAGTTAAGATCTATTCAGTCTTAAGGAGAAATTGGTTAACTATATTTGGCTAGTTTAATATATGTGATTCAGTGATTGAATGATAATGGAACATTTTGTGATTAGTTTACATCATAGATCCAACTCATTTGCACTTTAACATCATATATGTTTTCAAAAATTCAAGATAATGATACTTCTGGTAGGTTAGTGAAGAAAAACTGAGAGCAATAAGTATGAGAAATATATCACTCATAATATCTGAAACTTCACTTTGTATCTTTAACTGTTTTGCAGTCTTATACTTTACAGTAGACATTTTACTCTGCGAAGAGAAGACAATATCTAATACCGCCATCTCAAAATGATATTTTTATTCACTGTATGTCAGCAAACCATGGTCAGTGGTTTTTTTGTGTACCGGTCAAATAGAATTGGAACAAGCGACCTGATGATTGAATTAAAGAGTTAGGGGCAAATTTATTGTTAATAAGTAATCGTTTATAGATTGTGTATTTTCCAGTTATCCTGACGTGATTCCCCGATGCACTAAATTAAAGTATATAGAGACCCACTTTTCCAGTTTATTTTACTATTAACAGCATTTTGATTGATTCTAATGACACGAGTTTTAACAGGCTTGTTTGGTAGGAGGTAAGTTCCTTTAGTCTCAATCTGGATCGAGACAAAAAAGTTCCTATTCTAGCAGACGTCTTCCTCTAATATATATTACATCAAAAGACAACATCATCACGGCAGTATGCACAAGGTCCACATGTCATTTTATTGCTAAAATCACAAATAACAGAATTTCTTAATAGTTCCATTTGTTGTAGCCGCTCAATTATCACTATTTCTCAAAATTCGCTGTGAACCGATCGTATGTGAACATCAGTTGCTGCAATTGGTGATGTGACCTTGAAATCCTTGCAACGCTTCTGATTGACTCGCCCATAAATCATAGTCTTGCCGGCACCAATCGTAGCTCAAGACTTCTTTATAACCTATTTGTCGTGCATAGGTTTTTTGATAAACTAAAATGTTTTTATCTTTACTTTATAGATATACTTTTGGCAAAACTGCAAAACATCCATTGATTAGATTGTTATAATTCTTTACGGCCAGTGTAATAAATATACTCCTATCTTCTGACTGATAATTAAATATGAGTGTGAAAGTGGACATTCAATCTTCTAATTTCTGTCGTATTAATGATGAAAGTGATCAACATGAACAACTTATACCAGAAGATACAATTTCAACTGTGTACAGTATGTTTAAAAATTTTTATTGTTTTATTATAGTATTCTCAGACATACGTCTTCCAATAAAAGAATGATCAATCGCAGTCCTAAACATCAGTGGAAAGATTCAAACAAACAATGCTAAGTGAATTTAAACTTCACCCCATTGGACAAACAAGTGGCTATCAGGACTCAGTAGCTAAGCGAATAAGACGATGGCGTTTGAAACGAAATGTACTGAGTTCGAGTCTCAGAATTCTAGTGAGAAACAATGACCAGTAGAATTCAACCGAGTTTGTTGTGAGATAGTAACTCACTAATGACAATGGTACATGGTGGCACAATTTTGTGGATTGGTTGAAACCAAACATTTACACCGTTGAATACCGGCCAGCTCACTGGTCTATACATAAATTTTATTATATAAATATTTATTTAAACACATAAATATTAGTACAAGGGGCAGCGAACAGATATGCGCCACATAAATCATTCGATTTATATTAGGGCTGGGATACCACCCGGATGCCCAAACCGAAGCAGATGGCTTTTTTAGGAAGCCACACCCGGAGCCATTGACCTAAAGATCTAATCCACAAGGCAGTGAAGCAACGTCAGGAGATGCAGTCACATGGTAGCCCGTGACCAACAATTGGTTCATATGTCATTTGTTCCTTTAGGATCCTTGAGACCATGTACACCATTGGTTTGGAATGAGGGTTTTCCAACTCCCCTAGGTGGACTCTCCATGTCCACCAACCCGGTTGAAGCTCTAGACATTCAATTTTTATCATCTCAATTTCGTAAACAACACCCTCGCTATGTGAAGGCAGTAGGTAGGACTTCCCTGTCAGTGGTTGTATGCATGTGGCTATGTCAAAGCATTTCGAGAGGAAGATTTGACTCTTATTCTGAAATTAATGTGTTCTATTCTTTTATAGACGAACAACCAAATGTCAAGTTAGATGATAATGAAAAACTAGCAAATGATTCAAATGATAGTTTACATGAAGTTTTAGATGATTTAAACAAATTCAATGATGAATTAAAGAAACCATTCAATGATTCATTCTCAGTTGATTTATCTAATTTACCATATCCTCCTGGTTATTCTATTATAAAACAAAATGATTCAATGATAAATTGTGAAAATCAATATAAGGAGTTAAATGAAATTGAACAGGAAAATTCAAAGGAACCAAGGTATCTGTATATTGTTTAATGTGATGTAATCAATCAAGTTATCGATTTGTTCTATATGCAATTAGTTCCCTTTATGGGTTTAAATAAAATCAGAACGAGCATGGGTACAGAATAATATGAATTCATTATATTTCATTAGGTTCTCATTAGCTGCTTACATAACTGGTTCGATTTGAGCACCCGGATGATATCCAAGCTTTCATATAAATCGAATGATTTATGTGGAGCATATCTGTTTGGTGCCTCCTTGTACCAATCTTTATGTGTTTAAGTCATGATTCAATTGAAGCTAGACCACTATGGAAAACCTGGAAACACTGAACGGCTGTTTCGTCCTAGCCATTAGACCACTGAGCCGGTATTCAGCGGTGTTAATGTCTAACTTCAACCAATCCACGAAATTGCGCCGCCGTACACCATTGTCTGCTGTGAGTTACTATCCCACAACAGACGTGGTTGAACTCTACTGGTCACGGCTTATCACTAGAACTCCAGGAAACGGCTCTTGAAGTCAGTCACTAGTGAGCATTTATTGATTTATATCAGAAGGGGTTTTGTGGAGATTCAATGGCCCCATTATTTCAACTATTGAAATTACTAAAATCTCCATAAAACCCCCTTCTGAAACTAAATAATTGCTTACAATCAAATACGTATTAGAATTTTACATTGAGGTAAGATATAGTGTGGAACAATTGACATAAGAGAATGTAAAAATTTTGAATGACGAAAGTTATAATGTATATGCAACAACATGTCAGAGGTTATTTGGTATTAGGATCAAGGAAACATTAGTGATGGGTAATGTAATTGTTGAGTGAAGTTTAGTGACAGATAAAATAAATTATGTGATAATTTTAAAGGCATTTACCAAGTTACAATTACATACCAAAGCACATACATTGGAAGAATCGAGAGAAGAGTACATGTTCGCATTTCTGAGCATATTCCAAAGAAAATGAGACTGGAAGGGACATAGGCTCTCAACAGTGCAATAGCTCGACACGTACTTGACACCGAGTATACCATTGACATTTCTCATGCTTTTAAAATTATTATCAGACAAAGAAATACTGCTTCTCTCCGTTTTGCTGAAGCGATCACGACAAAAAAGAACTCAAACCGGATCCATGTATTCAATAAGAGGCAGTAATAAACCTATTACTATCCTGGTTATTCCATTTTTTTTACCATTAGTTGTATATTGTTAATGTTTTGGTTTGCTAATATTCCTCTCCCATTATTGAATTCTTAAACCACCCTTTATAATGAATTGTACTATTTACTCAGAAGACATAGCCATCTCTCATGTTTATTTTGTTTCTAAAATGTTAAATTTGAGACAAAAAAACAGTGTAAAGTGATGAAGGGTTAACTGAAGAGGGTGATTTCAGATGACCTGGAGGGATTGTTTGGACAATGAGAATGAATATTGAATAAGCGTACCAAAATCAATGAGGATTACTTTGAAAGGGATAAGAATGACCATGTAATTGAGATAGATTGTATGTAAGGGGGATTTTAGGTTGTTTAGATCGTTATAGAAATCTTATGTTCTGAGCCTAATCTGACAAAGTCTCAGTCTATCGAGATCCATGATTCCTAGAGACTCAACAAGAGAGTCGTCATAGATCGGTATCGGCCTTGAATATCAACGTGCGACATAATAAACTAATATCTTTTCTGCTGTCTATAATGAATCTCAGTATCAATATATAATGCAGAGTAATAGATCCACAACCACAAACATATGGCCACCCCTAGCTTTCTTCCAACCTACTCCTTCATCATAAAACATTGCTCGTCGGAGAAGTCGGTGGTTGGGCATACGTAACACGTGTTCCAGCCATCTCAATTTATAAAGTTTCACTACCTCATCAATTGATTTGCCATCCTTACCTCGTACCCGTTTCCCAACAATTGCATTACTTACTCGGTTGTCCCAGGATATACGTGCAATGCTTCGAAGACAACTGTTATCGAATAATAGTAACGTACGAATATCAACTACTCTTACCGACCATGTATCAGTGCCATAAAGTAGAATGGAACGAACTACTGCGCAGTGAACCCGTCCTTTGTTTGATAGACGGATATCTCGCTTACGCTATAAATGACGCAAGTTGGCAAAAACTGATCGAGCCTTCTGTACCCGTGCTGATTTCGTCACACACCAGACCACAAGGGCTGATGAGACTTACAAGATAAGTGAAGTGGTTGACACACTCAACTACTTCACTCCCTATCATTATTTCAGGTGCCGATGCAACTCAATCCTGTAGCAACATTTTGCACAAGTGATACTATATTATTTTTAATTATATTTTATCGTACCTTATAATAAAAAGTAAATTGAGATAAACAAATTGTTGTTACTTATTAAACTGTTAGTAGTATATATGAATAGGTTCAATGTTTTGAATATTTATTTTATTTTATTTGAACACATAAATATTGGTACAAGGAGGCACCAAATAGATATGTGTCACACACAAGTCACTTGATTTGTATGCGGACTGTGATACTGCCCGGGTGCCCAAACCGAAGCGAGTGGTTTTCTCACGGGGCCACACACGGAGCCTTCGACCTAAAGGTACGATCCACAAAGCAGTGGAACAACGTCAGGAAATGCATTACCATGGTAGTCGGTGACCAACGATCGGTTCATACGCCATTTGTTCCTTCAGGATTCTGGAGACCATGTGCACCATTTGTTTGGAATCAGGGTTTTCCAACTCCCCTGCATGGATCCTTCGTATTCACCAATTCCATTAGGTCGCCGGACATTCGCTTTTCGTCCTGTCCATTTTGTAAACAACAGTAATGCCTTAAAAAGGCAGTGGCCAGGACTTCCTTGACAGTTTTAATAACCTTAGATGTTTATGTACCTTTATAGGAATTTATATACGTAAGTCAGTCTATTCGACGTACTATTTCATAGATCTTTCATCTTAAGAAGAATCAACCTATAAAAGTGATTTTTTCTGTTACATTTTAGAATGACAAAAAAATTTTTAAAACAACATTGTGCAAAGAATAAATTATATCAAACACCACAATTAAACGATATACTTTATCTACATTATAATGGTAAACTATGTTTATGTTAATAATCTATCTATAAGTAAACCATACTGGTATTCTATTATTATTAATATTATTAATAGTAGTAGTAGTAGTAGCAGTAGTAGTAGTAGTAGTGGTAGTAGTAGTAGTGGTAGTAGTAGTAGTAGTAGTGGTAGTAGTAGTAGTAGTAGTAGTGGTAGTAGTAGTAGTAGTAGTAGTAGTAGTAGTAGTAGTGGTAGTAGTAGTAGTAGTGGTAGTAGTAGTAGTAGTAGTGGTAGTAGTAGTAGTAGTAGTAATAATAATAATAGTAATGGTAGTGGTAGTAGTGGTGGTAGTGTTAGTGGTAGTAGTAGTAGTGGTAGTAGCATTAGTAATGATGGCAGTATTATTATTATTACTTTTAGTAGTAGTGGCTGTAGTAGTAGTGTAGTGAATAAGAACACCAGTGGGGACAACCGAATACAATAAAAACAAAATTACAGGACTTGTTAATAAAATCTAACAATCGAATAGTAGATACGTAAATTTGTAAAATGTCCATTGTTTGTCTCAAAATGATTCAGACTTCATTGTTCTTGCATTTTCATACAAATTGCATTCTGTTCCGTTTCTTTACTGTTCGATCCTCTTGTCTCTCCGCTGCCAGACATTCTGTTCACGACTAACATCATCTACTACTTATATCAATATAAGTAGCACACACCACAGTAGTAATAGTAGTCGTATTAGTAGTAGTTGCAGTAGTGTTATTTTGTAAAGAACTAAACGATTTTAAGATGAATTAGGTTGTAGGTGAACCATAAAAATTCATATAAAACTGAACTGTTACTCTATTCTGTTTTTGAGCTCATTATAAGATTGAAGCCAGAAAATCTTGTTTTTGTAGTTCAAACTGAGTGTTTTAATTTAATCATACATTGAACTGATAACCGATTTTTTGTAGTACTAATGATTTGTTCATATACTTTTTTGATGAAAGCAGTCTAATGAATAGTTAGATTTATATCATATCATTGATTGAGCTGGATCTAATTGACATATCTGACAGGTTCTTGAACCAAACTAACAGATGAAACCGTAAGACTATCATTTATGGACGACCTATGAGCGATGCTTGTTTGACCTCAAGAGTGTTCACTTAATATCCAGGATCAAATGAAGGTTATAAATCTGTGTGAGGCATTAGAATTATGATTTACCGTCGATGATTAAGGTTAGGAATTAGATTTCGGGTTTTCATCATGAACTGACATCACCGAAAATACCAAAACTCTATTTATCCAAATGGATGAATGAATTTCGCGCCAAAATCCGAGATCTTTTATCTTATATCTGATTAGTTCGTCCATAAATTGCCTTTTACTTCTAATAACCATTCAACTTTAATAGTGACAAACTATCATATCTATATGATAATCATCAGGAGTACTTAATAGCCTAACAAAATATGGTTAAATTCAAGACGTTCCATCTTCATAGCAAATCATGAAATCTAATAGTTCAAGGTTTTTAAACTTGACTCAATTCACAATTTAACAAAGTGGTTTGGTTGAAGTTAGATATTAACATCTATGGACGTAAAGCGTTCACGTGCGAGACTGAAGTTCCGTAGTTCGAATCCAACGTGTCGGATCGTCGATGTGTGCTGCTGAGGAGTAGTCCCATACTAAAACAAGAATGGCCATAGCGATTTAGCTCTAATCAACTCATGAATTGAACTATTAAAAGTCAAGAGATTTTTATCCGTTAGAAACAAAATTGTGATATAATATAATAATAATTAAATTCATCAGTCAATTAATATCAAACCATCAGAGAAAACTTGGAAGCAATCATTCAATGACTGTTTCGTCCTAACATAGAACTCTTCAGTAGCGCTCACCCATGATCTCGCCTGACGAGTAATATAATTACTGTTAATTCATGATTCATTTTAATGAAAAAAAACAACAACTTTTGGATAAGTTAAAGTTAGAAATGAACACCATTAGATAACGGCCATCTCAGTAATCTAATGGTTAAGCATTCTCTCGCCAGACTGATAACTCCTGGGTTCAAATCTCGCAAGGCGGCTGAATCGTGGATGTTCACTGTCAAGAAGGAGTCCCACGCTAGGACGAAACGAACATTCAGTTCTTCCTCTAATCTTTCTATACTGGTCTAGTTTCAATCAACTCATAATCTCATTTTGTTTTTCTTTTTTTTTACAGGATTTTCCAAAATTGAAAATCTTGAAGAATATACAAATTTAAAATGTTTATTCTTAGAAGTCAATGGTCTATTGAAAATAGATGGATTACATAATCAAACTGAATTACGTTCATTATATTTAGCCAAAAATTTAATACGTTCTATTGAAAATTTAGATCATATGAAATATTTAGATACATTAGATGTTAGCTATAATATGATTAGTAAAATTGAAAATCTTGGTAAGTAGTTGTTGTTATGTCATCACAGAAAGGGGAGTATTTTTATGTTATTGTGAATAGTTGAGATCATCATGGAAAACTTGGAAGTATTGGATGACTGTAAGAATTTAATCGAGTCTGTTGTCAGATAGTAAATCATTGAAGACAATGATGGATGTGTAGTTCAATTTTGGTGGATTAGTTCAAGTTAAACATTAACATTATTGAGATTAGATGGTGGTTGGAGGTAGTCGACAGGAAAGCCTGGACTCGGGTTTCGTGCTACTTGGCACTCGTCAACAAAGTGTGCCAGTAATCTTGAGGTGTCGAGTCACCTAAACTGGTGGCCATATTGCAACATGGTCGATAGCATTCGATCTGCACTAAATAAGGACTTGACACACATGACATTGATCACCGCCCAATGATCAATCATTTGTGATTAAAATTATTGGATACTGATCGGTTCAGTGGTATAGAGGTTAAGCGTTCATACGTGCGACTGATAGGTTTTGATGGAGTTTTGTTCTCTGAGTTGGACGGTTTAGTTGTGGGACTTTCATCGTTCTTCTGAACGACATTATCAACACAAACTTCAGATAGAAGTGAACTGTTCGAATTTCTCCATATGTGGTTCACAGTTTATCCTGTAGAACCCGATGATGATTAGTTCTTGTCGACTTTAAACCTATCATTGTTTACTTCTTTGCTTTGATTGTATCTTCCACTGGTTTGATTTTTATTCCCATGTTCGTGCAAATAAATATTCGACTGAAAAAATGTGGAAATTTGAGACAGAGGCAATTCCAAAAACACCAGAGAATTTTTATAAGTTTGGCACTCAATAAGCACATTGGAGTCGATCCAATTTATCAACCAATGAGGAAAATTATGCACAAACATGGGAACAAAAATCAAACCAATGGGAGATACGATCAAAACAAAGAAATAAACAATGACAGGTTCAAGATCAACAATCACCAATCAAGATGGAGGTTTACAGGTTAAGCTGTGAATCACATGTAGAAAAATTCGAACAGTTCACTTCTATCTGAAGTTTATGCTGATGATGCCATTCAGAAGAGTGATGAAAGCACCACGACCAAACCATCCAACTCAGAAAAAAACTCTATCAAAATAATCCACCTGAGCTACAAATCTCCTCCACCATCTCAAGACTGATAGGTCCTGAGTTCGAATCTCGCGAGGCGGTGGGATCGTGGATGCGCAATGCCAAGGATGAGTCCCACACTAGGATGAAACGGCCGTACGGTGTTTCCAGGTTCTCTATGGTGGTCTAGCTTCAGTTCACTCATGAATTCAATTATATATATATGATTTCAATTAATTATTTATTTAAACGCATAAATATTAGCACCAGGAGTCAGCAAACAGATATGCACCACATAAGTCATTCAATTTATGTGAGGGCTGTTATACTGCCCAGGTACCCAGACCAAAGCAAGTGGTTTTGTTAGGGGGCCACACTCCGAGCCTTTGACCTAAAGGTCTGATCCACAAGACAATGGAGCAACGTCAGGAGATTCAGTCCCATGATAACCAGTGACCAACGATCGGTTGATACAGGATACTGGAGACCATGTATACCATTAGTTTGGAATCAAGGTTTTCCAACTTCCTTTAAATGGATCATCTGTATCTACCAACCCGGTTGAAGTTGACTCTCCCCACTTTCGTCCGAGTGCTATATATACACAATATTATTCCATTTGATAGTTCACAGAAGTTCTTCTCTTCTTAATCTTCACTTGAATATAACATCAACTTGTCAAGAATATCATCATTATTTACCAAGAAACAAACAAACAAATAAATAAATAAACAAATCAAAAAAAATTTTTTTGTTTTTCATTAATCAATAATTTTTTTAAAGTTTTTTTTAATTGATTTTTCTATCCCCAACCAAATTAGATTTACTGCCAAATTTTACAAAATTAATTATATCCCATAATAAATTAACCGAAATTAATGATTTAATTCATTTAATTAAATGTGAACAATTATCTGTACTTGATATACAATATAATTTTATAAAAGATCCTAATGTTGTTGAAGAAGTATTTGCTAAATTACCAAATTTAGTAAGTTTATATTATGAATACATCATATGGATAATATGATCTTTGGTTTCTTTTCTTTTTTTTGTTGCTAAGAGAACTTTAATATCATATTGATGATTATTTTATTTAAACATATGAATTGATTTGATAAGATGATGATTGAAAGTAGTGTACACTGCGCAGCAGTCCGTTCTGTTTTAATTTACGACAGCGAGACATGGCCATTAAGAGTAGAAGACACTCGTAAGCAGCTAGTATTTGACCACAGATGCCTTAGAAATATATTGCTGGCGTCTGCTGGGATCACCGGGTAAGTAATAGTGAGGTTAGACGCAAGGTATTACGGAATGATCGTAAATCAGTTGATGAGGTCGTGAATCTTCATCGATTGAGATGGTTGGGCCACGTGCTACGTATGTCTGAACACCGATTACCACGACGTGCAATGCTAACCGGTGTTGGGGATGGTTGGAAGAAGGCTAGGGGCGGCCAAACCAAAATGTGGCATCAGTGATTGAAGTCACTAACCTCTAATCTGAGCCATGTTGGTAGATACAATCTACTTGTTTGGGATCAGCGTGAATATCGTAACTAATGGCTGAAGATTCTAAGTGATATAGTTCAGAATCGATCACAATGGCGTAGGTGTGTACACTCTTTGTCTTCCCTTAAACTATGAGATTAAAGTCGCTTTATACCGTTCTTTCTACCAACTAATTCTTTCTTCCTGTACTATATCCTTATATACAATCTTTCTTTTATATATTACCACCTCTGAACTGACTACTTTTATGAATTTGGTGTTCATCTTGATGTGTTAATGAGGTATGGCAACTTGGACCGATGCATAATGTGCCTTATCTTACGTTGTAGCTGACTGACTGACTGACCAGTCGTATTCTACAGTGAACAAGAAACTCTGAATGTAGATTGTGTGCTGTTTTGGCATTTTTCAGCAAGATGATGTGTACCTGTAATGTTGAGGGAACTGATGGGCTTTGACAGATTCGGTCCCATATCACCTGGGTTCATAATCAGTGAGATTATCACTGAACTATTCGTACAGCGATTAACCTCCTTTAAGACTGAGATGTTTTTATGATTGATTGATCATTAGTTGGTGAACAGCGTCATGTATATCAGATTATTTTTAGTGACGATTCAGTCAGTCAGTTACAACGTAGGATAAGGCACATTATGCATCGGTCCAAGTTGCCATACCTCATTAACACATCAAGATGAACACCAAATTCATAAAAGTAGTCAGTTCAGAGGTGGTAATATATCAAAGAAAGATTGCATATAAGGATATAGTACAGGAAGAAAGAATTAGTTGGCAGAAAGAACGGTATAAAGCGACTTTAATCTCATAGTTTAAGGGAAGACAAAGAGTGTACACACCTACGCCATTGTGATCGATTCTGAGCCATGTCACACAGAGTCTCCAACAATTGGTTACGATAGTCAACCTAGTAGTTTGTATCTACCTACATAACTAAGACTAGAGGTTAGTGACTTCAAGCACTGATACTACGTTTTGGTTTGTTGCCCCCTAACTTTCTTCCAACTGTCTCCAACACTAGTCAGCATTGTACGTCTTGATAACCGGTTCAGAGTTCAGAGTTTCCTGTTGACTGCCTCCAAACACCATCTTATTCCAACATAGTACATACAATGTCAAGTCACCTAGACTGGTGGCTAGATTGCAACTTGGTCGATGAGACTCAAGTGTCACTAATAAGGACTTGATATTGATCACCACCCAGTGATTAATCGATTACAAACAAACTGACTTGCTTCAGTATTAAAGTTACATACATAGTATACCCAATGAATACATGAAGTGAGTTAGTTAGGTTATGAGTTATGTAAGATTTTCAAATTCTTATGTCAATGAAATATAACCGGTATGTTATACTTTGAGATTTGATTATACTTAGATATCATTAAGTTTTCAAGCGAAATCGATTGTTGGTAAATCCACTTAAATATTTACTATAAAGTAGAACCATATTATACTATATGATGTTGTAGTAATCCCATTCAACTATTGTATTATTTGTATGTTCACTGTAATCCACTATGTAAAATTTCTGGGTGAGACTGAAAGTCCTGGATTCAAATCCCACGTGCGAGATCATGGATGTATAGTGTTCAGGAATTCCATGCTTGGATGAAACGGCCATTCAGTACTTTCAGGTTCTCAATGGTAGTCTAACGTCGATTGATTCATGATCTTAATCAGAAACTTAATAATAATAATAGTAAAAATAGATTAGATTGATTACAGTTTGACCTCATTTGGAATACTACTGAAAACCAAGAATATTAGATAACTGACTCATCCTAGTATGAAACTCTTAAACAATGCACATCGACGATGTCGGATGTAACAATGAGAATAAATTTATATCATGATTACACACTATTGACAAGTCCCAACCTCGATAGGAAAGAAGGTAAAACAGTTTATCTCTCTGACTACCTGAAACCAAGTACTATCACATCATACCGAACTTGATGTTAAGTCCCATAGACCATTGGATACGTTTCAACATCCTTATTTCAATTCCTCTCAGAACTCAAATGAATTGACATGGATGAAATTACTTGCCAATTACAGATCAGTATCAGATGGGTTTTGTGGATATTATAGTAATTTCAATGGTTAAGATCGTGAGTCAACTGAAGCTAGACCACTATGGAAAACCTGGAAGCACTGGACGGCCGATTAGTCCTATTGTGGGACTCCTCAGAACTGCGCATTCACGACTTCGCCCCCCCCCGCGAGATTCGAACCCAGGACCACTAGACCACTGAGTTAGCATCCAACGGTGTTAATGTCTAACTTCAACTAATCCACGAAATTGAGCGACCCATCCACCATTAATTTCCGTGAGTTACTATCACACAACAGACCTGGTTGAACTCCACTGGTCACTGCTCCTCAATAGAACTCCAGGATATACCTCGTAAAGCCAATCACAATAGGTTGAAACAGCCGTCCAGTGCTTCCAGGTTTTCCATAGTGATCAAGCTTCAACTGACTCATGATCTTAACCATTGAAATTACAGATCAATCTATGTACTTATTTACATGATCAGATTTTGCATTATAAAGAATGAAACTACTTGAAATTAATGAGTAGTATCTAATGAATAAGAATTTACTTTATTCATAATCCACGTATTTTGTTCTTTATATATAAAAACAACATTTCCAGAGAGTTTTATACAATCAAGGAAATCCATTTATTCGAGAAGTGAAGAATTATCGTAAGAATATTATTAATCAATGTGTAAGTTTATAAACGAGGGTAGTTTTATATTAGTAATATGATTATGTAATCTGTTGAATAAATTTACCAATGGAGATAATAAAAAAATCATTTTTTTTTTCAAAACTATAAGATTTATCCATATTGTTCATTTCAAAATTATTGCCCATATCGTTTGTATTATCATCGTGTTCTAGGGGTTAGATGGTTTAACTGGGAAACTTTATTATCATTATCGACACAGGATCATCAACGCATATTTCAAGGATTGGTTGAGATTAGACATTAATACCTTTTTTAATCTAGGCTCAGTGGTATAAAGGTTAAGCGTCTATGAGTGAAACCGAAGGTTCTGTGTTCGAATCCTTTTTGCGGGATTGTGGGTGTGTACTACTGAGGAGTCTCGTACTAGGACGAATAGGCCGTCCAGTGCTTCCGAATTTCCAATGGTGGTCTAACGTCAATTGATTCAGAAATTCAACTATTAAATGATACTTATTACTAATAAAAAGTGAATTCAACATTGATAATCTATTTGATAACAAGTGTACTTACAATCCTGTCCAAATCTTTGATGCATACATATTATAGCTTATCTCAGGCTTTGTGTATATCATAAGGGATGGTGGTGATTAGTGAATTAAGTACATCATCAATATATTACTTACTTTATTTCTTAACTACTTACGCCCGTTACTCCCAATGGAGCATAGGCCGCCGACCAGCATTCTCAAACCCACTCTGTTCTGGGCATGCTTTTCTAGTTCCTTCCGATTGTTGTTCATTCTTCTCATGTCTTTCTCCATTTCTCCACTTAATGTGTTCTTTGGTCTTCCTCTCCTCCTTTGGCATTGAGGATACCATGTGAGGGCTTGTCTTGTGACATAGTTGGGTGCTTTCCTCAATGTGCATCCTATCCACTTCCAGCTCTTCTTCCTGATTAATTCCTCTTCACAAACCTAGTTTGTTCTCTCCCACAGTACGTTGTTGCTGATAGTGTCCGGCCAATGGATCTGAAGTATTTTGCGCAGACAATTGTTAATAAACACCTGTATCTTTTGGATGATGGCATTCGTAGTTCTCCAGGTTTCCGCTCCATACAGTAGAACTGTGTTGACAGTTGTATTGAAAATTCTGACATTGGTGTTGATTGAAAGACTGTTGTTTTGAGTTCCAGATATTCTCCAGTTGTAAATATGCTGCTCTTGTTTTGCTGATCCGCGCTTTCACATCTGCATCAGATCCACCGTGTTCATCAATGATGCTGCCCAGATATGTGAAGGTTTTCACATCCTCCAAATCTTCTCCGTCAAGTGTGATTTGATTGGTGCATGTTGTGTTGAGTTGGAGAATCTTGCTTTTCTCTTTGTGAATGTTGAGACCTACTGCTGCTTAAGCTGTTGCTTCACTGGCCGTCTTCTCCTGAATTTGTTGTTGAGAGTGCGATAGAAGGGTCAGATCATCTGCGAAGTCTAGATCGTCCAGCTGCATCCTATATGTCCTCTGTATCTCATGCTTCCCCTCAGATTTTGACATCTTCATAATCTAGTCGATTACCAGGAGGAAGAGGAAGGGTGAGAATAAGCAACCTTCACCAATATATACATATATTATATTTTCTTTCTTATTTCAGAAAAATCTCACTTATCTAGATGATCGTCCAGTTTTTCCAATGGATAGAGCATGCGCTGAAGCATTGTAAGTGTATTATTATAATTAATTGTTTCATTCAATTGTATATAACATAGTTACTCGGGCGGAATTGAAAAAGAACGTGAAATTAGACAACAATGGATTGATGCAGAACAAAAAAAGATTTTGGATAGTGTTAAATGTAAGTTTATTATTCACTTGTTACTGTTTTTACTTGTATCTTCCCATTGTTATTTAGGACTGCAATTGATCAGTCTCATGTTGTCATACGTGCATCCTGTGAGGATTGCCTCGATATTGCCTTAAGTCACAAGGATTTAAGCAAAGATTCATGTGCATCCAGCTGACGAGTCCTAAATAGGATGAAACGCGTATCCTGGATTCTACTGCTAGCCACTATCCATCTTTGCTTAATAAGTTTATTATTGTTATATTATACTTTCTTATCATCAAAATAATAGTTTGTGTAATGAATATTCATTTTAAACGTGCTAACCATTTGCTTATTCATTTTATTTTAAGGGTTATCCAATAAGCGTCAAGTCATTGAAGCAACACATCATAAGACTGAATTAAATAAACAAGCTGAAGGAGCTGATTTATCAACTGACGACATACATGTTACACCAGGTGATGTTGACTGGTTATATGGAAATGTAGATAGTGCAAAAAATGAAAGTGATTCAGATCAAGAACTTGAAGAAACAAATAATGATGTAGAAACCTATACTGTATCTTCATCAAATGCAAGAGATGAAGAACTTGATACTATGACAGATTGTGAACCATTGAACACCCAAATATCTGAAGAATTCTATTCATCAGAGATGGTTAACTTAAAAGCTGATAACACAGAGTTGAATAGTTCACTGAAAAAGAATGACGAAGAGTTATTTTTTGATAATAATACTGTTATAAGTGAACAGAAGAACAATTCTAATGAAGATGAAGTAAGTGTAAGACAGTACTTTGAAAAAACATACTGTGCGTACTGTGCGTATTGCCTCGATATAGCATTATATGCAAAGATGGATAATGGCTAGCAGTGGAATCCAGAATGCGCATTTCTTCCTATTTGGGACTCGTCAATTGGATGTGCCTGCAACTCAGAATTGGTGTTCACTCTGAGACTCGAACTCAGTAGCGTTCGCTCCAAACGCCATCGTGTTATCTACCTAGCTACTGAGTCATGATAGCCACTTGCTTGTGCAATGAGGTGACGTTTAAATTCACATGGTATTGCATAATATAAGAATTTTTTAAGCTGTTGAAATTGAAATGATCTTGTATATCGACGGATGCTGATAACGTCATGCAGTTCCATATAGCTGCTTTATACAAAACCGATATTATTTTGAATGGTCCTTAGATGTATTTGACTGAATATCCACTATGTTTTTTAGTAGTTTACGGGTAAGATCATATCTTAGAAATAGGGTACCAGATAGGGATGGCAAACAGATTGGTGTGGTAGTGAATCTGTATCAAATGAAGTGGTTAGGACATATTTAACGTATGCCTTGCCACCGCTCTAAAAGTGACCGAACGTTATAAAATTTAAATTTGAAACAACTAAAAATAAACTGTAATCGAAGAATAATTACAAGAATTCCTTATAACAGAATGTAGATTTGTGAGGATTTAACTAGGATTTAGCTAGACCACCACTGAACGACCCTGAAAGCATTGGACGGCCGTTTCGTCATAGTCTGGAACTCCCTTACAGTGCGAATACACGACCTCGCATTCCTGATCCAAACCAAGGATCTTCTGCCTCTCACGCTTAACCTATAAACTGCTAAGCTGCCTAACTTCAATCGATCCATGATCTTGCGCAACCCTTCATTCATTGTCTCATACTAGGACGAATCTGTCGTTCATTGCTTCCAGGTTCTAGCTGAGATCGACTCATGAATTCGTCTACTAAAATTCATTACATGTTTATTAAGTTCTCGTCAGATATTTAGAATCCAATTACTCAAAGGTGTAAAACTCTTGAACTTTGAAATGTAATTGATATGGATTTGGCTATCACTACTTTTGTAAAGTGATAGGAACTATCACTGATTCATTTAATCATAAAATAGATCTTTGGTTACCTAATTTTTAGTTTCAGTCCGTCAGTCAGCTACAACGTAGGACCAGGCACATATGTACATCGGTCCAACTTGCCATACCTCATTAACAATACATGACGAACACCGAATTCATAGAATTAGTTACTTTAATGATAGAAATATATAAGAGAAAGATTGCTTATAAGGATATATTACAGAAAGAAAGAATTAGTTTATAGAAGGAAAGGTATAAAGTAAATTTAATCTCACAGTTTAAGGGAAGACAGAGTGTGCATACACCTACGCCACTGTGATCGATTCTGAGCCATATCACCTCAAGTCTCCAACTATTGGTTACGATAGTTTACGAGAATCTATCAGTACAATAGACTTAGTAGTAATCCACTGATTTTTCTAACCTTTTGGTTTAAATCACTAATAGACGTCGCTTCTGTTTCCACAGCTGTTTGTATATCTTTCCAAACAACATCTGGGTCAGCCTCGTTTTCAGAACCACCTAAGTGCGATTCCAGTTGTTCCTGGAATCTAATTCTGGCTTTCTCGTCACTGAAGTCAACTCTAATGGGTATTCTTAATGTGGCTTTCTTGTGTTCAGATAGGCGCAAGCACCAGTCTGGAAAGGATAGGAGGCTTGATAGTCTGTGTTAATCTTGACAATGATGACTTCTTAGTTGATCGAACTTTCTCGTGAAAAAGTCGACAGATGGAGCTCCAATCACGTGTTGAGTTAATGAATTCCACTTGTTGATGATGCGATGATAAATTCGATAATCAGCTGACAAGTAATTTGTTCTAGGCTCGTGAACTTTTTTGGAGTTTCCTAGTAAATTCTCTGTTTTTGAAGACAAAAGTAAATGTGAGTCATTCGATTTTCAACCACTAATTCGTATTTTCAAGTCCTCTACAATCTAGTTCTGTTTGAACATCATGGTATTGTCACCAGACCTAACACAACGTCACTTCATATTGATTACTCGATCTATATTTGTGTCATCGTGAAAGAGGATTTTCACTTGTTGTTTTACGTGTTGTTTTACATATATCTTCTCATTGTTATTTACGACTTCAATTAATCAGTCCCATGTTGGCATATGTGCATCTTGTGCGGATTCCCTCGATATTGCCTTAATTCACAAGCATTATAAGCAGAAGCAAGCGGCAATCAGAACTTAGTAACTAAGTGAATAACGTGATGGCGTTTGAAGCGGGCAGCACTGAGTTCGAGTCCCAGGGCGAAAGTCAACTCTGAGATGCAGATACATCCAGCTGACGAGTCCTAAATAGCACGAAATATGCGTCAAACTGGATACCATTGCTAGCCATTATCCATATTTGTTTAATAATGATTTTCACTCATTTACTATTTTGATTTCTCTATTGTAGATTGAATCCATTTCAGTGAATGAAGAAATATCTTTAGTCAAAGTTAACGAAAATATTAATAATTCAATATTCAGTCATTTAAATAATGATAATAATGTCAGTGATCATAATGGTATGAATAGAAGCAATTTATTATCATTCTTAAATATTACAGGTAAAGAAAATGTTCATAATCTATTCATTCATTTCATGTTATGTATATGTATGCAAAAAATAACCTTGAGTACATTGACCTTAAGTCCGCTTGTAGCTCTTCTAGAGTTACTGCCGGTCCCATGCCCGGGTAAAGGAAGAGGGTTGGGCATGGGGTTAGCGACCCCATCCCGTCGATAACTAACTCGCTAAAAAAACGCTAACCAGAAAAAATAATTCAAACCATTTAAACTCTATCCTGAAAGTTAGAATGTCTTCATTTAGAAGAACTATGACGGCTCATTGTGAAAGTCAAGTTTCTTCGGAAGCCATGAGGTCGATGCCTCTTCTAACAATCAGAGCAACAATTTTTATAGGTACATGTAACGTCCGAACAATGTGGGAGACCGGGAAGGCCAGTCAAAAAGCAACAGAACATTGACCTTGATATTGTTTTCCTTAATGATTGTTCAACTTAACTAAAATTCACCTTTTATTCAATCTGAGCATTAGAAATACCAGCCATAATTTATATTATCCAAACTCAAAATCACATGTGATAATATAATGGTGTATGCTATATAAGTAGTATATAATGCTAGTCAGGAATAGAATGTCTGGCAGAAAAAGGTCAAGATTATCGAGGAGGAACGAACGGGAGCAGAAAGCAATTGACATGGAAATTCAGGAACAATGGAGTGTGAGATGATTGACGGATATTTGCAAAAGGAACAGTCAAGTTTGTTACAATTGATTGACTTATTTGTGAATGAAGTATTGTACTGTATGGTTCTCAGATTTTACTAGGATGTTCTGTAATGTTGTATTCAAATACATTTGATTGTCCCCACTTGTGTACTCGTTCACTACAATATATAAGTGAGATATAAGATCACGATGTACTATGAGTAGTAAATCGTGACATATGGATTAGCAGAGAATTTTCGAGTAATGGGGAGAGTAATGGACTGTCTGTACCAATATGTTACTTGTATTTTCCTCCTTATTTATTCTCTGATATAACTACAAGTGAATATATTGAAAACTAATGGATGCTAACTTGTAATGGCAGATAGACATTTTTGTGATTTTTTTTCTGAATACATATCGCTAAGATATATATGTCGTGATGGGATTTATAGAAATAGTGGCTATTGTATGGATCTATTGCTGGCTCAGTGTTCAAGAGGTTAGGAGTTGGCGCATGAGACCGAAAAATCCTGGATTCGAATCTTGTGAGGCGGGATCATGGATTGGCACTGCTGAGGAGTCCCATATTAGGATGAAACGGCTGTCCAGTACTTCCAGGTTCTCCGTGATGGTCTAGCTTCAATTGACTCATGATCTCAACTATTGAAATTACTTACTAATTATCAAACATTCAAGTTTGTTTATATTACGGAAGATTACTTGAGTTTAAAGGCAGATGGACTGTGACAGATAGTGAAATTTAAGATTTTCGTTTCTTTCAGTTTGGTCTTAGTTGTCTGGACGAAAGTGAACTCCAGTATTAATCCCCACTACTGGATTCTAGTCAATTAAAGTTTTCTACAAACAACCAACCCGTTATCCACCAAGCTAATAAGTCTGAGTAGCCACTGATTTGTACAGATGGATGTATTGTTTTGGTCTGCATTGGCTATTTGTACAGCGAAATCGATTTGTTATGTGGATAACGCGTAGATATTTGACCTGAAAGTTACTGGGTTCTAGTCATTGTATGAACATCAGAATTAAGGTACAGGTACATCCAGTTGACGAGCTTTAAACATGACGAAACTTATGTTCCGGATTCTATTATTGGTCACTATCAAAACCTTGCTTAAATACCTAAATTTTTAAGTTAATGGTTGCTCTGGTTGTCAGAAGAGGCATCAGCCTCGTGACTTTTGAAGAAGCTCGGCTTTCACAATGAGGCGTCATAGTTCTTCTAAATGAAGACACTCTAACTCCCAGGACAGAGTTTAAATGGTCTGAATTATTTTTCTGGTTAGCGTTTTTTGAGCGATTTAGTTATCGACGAGATGAGGTTGCCAACCCCATGCCTAACTCTCCTCCTTTATTCGGCTTTTGAGTCGGCAGTAGCCCCGAAGGTGGCTCCATGCGGAGTTCTGCTTAAATACACTTCTGATTTATTATCACCATCAAGGTAATCCCCATAGAATTGTTTCAAATGTTATCTTTCTCACTAAATATTATAAAGATCTCATCTTATTAACAACGGTATAAGAATTGCTTTCTATGATTACTGTTTGTTGTTAAAGATTTTATAATGATTAGTTTTAACTAAAGTTGATTTTTCTCATGGATTTCTTTCTTTGTTAAACAAGTAGAACTACTGAAAATTAGTGATTAAGTGGGTAATATTAACTGATAAGTCTTCTAATCGAATGTTAGATTCTGTTTCTAAGGTCTTCTAGTAATCTCTAGGCCAAATCTACAAAAACTTGAACATGAGTGAGAAAGGTGTGAAATATGAAAGAAACGTATTACTCCAAGGTTCGCTTTTATACAGAAAATCTAGGGTATTTATAGTACTTTAGACGGCCTTGAGCTTCCGGGAATTTCTGGAACGTCAATAAACATAGTAGCAGTATAGGTAATTATTCAATCAGCAACGCGACATGTGACTTTTCACTTTCTAGATGTTTCTGACAAAACTTCTCTTGAATGCTGATTGGATAAGATGTTTCTCAATGTTTTAACAGCCTTTTGAGGCTTTTTCTTCAAGGAGTTTTCTGGATCTCTCTAACACTGACAACATCAATAAATTTACTATTGAGTGCTTTCTATAAACGAATGTGATTATGGTTTTCCATAGATTTAATCTATTTAACTCGATACAAATGAATTGATACTGATACTAATATTTATTGTTCTATTGTTCATTTTCTTTTTAGGTAATTGTAATGATGATGAAGTGTCTGATCAAGAGATTGAAAATGATTGCACAGAAAGTAATGAACTAGGTGAGGAACAACTGAACAAATGTTTTTGATATGTGGATATGAATGATAGTGATTGGTTGTTTGCTTAGTCAGACTTGTGGATAGTCTGATATGTACTAAATGAGATATGTCTTTCCTTAGCCTTACTATTATTGTGATTGTTGTCGGCTTTTGGTGTGGAAATATACATACGTTTCTAGTCCGGCTAATCACATATTCTTGATCTGAATTGTGTTGAATTCCTGTAGACTAGACACTGGAAGGTTATCTACTGTAGATATTCGTTTAAGGCATATTAGCGTCCCATTCGCGTAGATGTGGAAACCTTGAGCGTCATAACAGTTTCTGTATTATTTTTATACTTTACATGTAAATTTCCTTATAAGAGTATAGTAAAACAATCTCCCTCATAAGTTAGAAGACTGATCAAACTATAGAGTTGGTCGATAGCATTCGATCTGCACTACGAAGGACTTGACATACATGACATTGTTGAACTCTACCACGATATTCATGACATGATTCATTTACGTAACGGTTTAATTTCTATTTAGATGATTTAACTGTTAAAACAAGAAATATGAAAACGTTTAAGAATTTTATAACAACAATTGATTATAGTGGTAAGTCTTAATTTCAGAATGGGTTTTGTGGATATTATACTTATTTTATTAGTTGAGATCATGAGTCAGTTGAAGCTAAACCATTATGATAAATCTGGAAGCACCGAAAGGCCGTTTCATTCTACTGTCGAACTCCTCAAAAGTGCGCATCCACGATCCCGCCTCCCCTCCGCGAAATTCTAACCCAGGACCTATCGGTATCGCGCGCGAGCGCCTAACCATTAGACTACTGAGCTGGTATCCACTGGTGTTATTGTATAACATCAATTAATCCACGAAATTGAACGATACATCTACCATTGTCTTCAGTGAGTTACTATCTCACAACAGAACCAGTTGAAATACACTGGTCACTGCTTCACTAGAACACCAGGAAACACTTCTTGGAAACCATCACTTGAGAGCATATATTAATTAATATCAGAAGGGGTTTGGATTTCGCGATGTGGGATCGTGGGTGCGCACTGCTGAGGAATCCCACAAAGGACGAAACGGCCATCCAAAGCTTCCAGGTTTTCCATAGTGGTTTAGCTTCAAATGACTCATGATCTCAACTATTAAAAATCATAATTTGTTGATAACATTACTCTTTCCAATAAATGCTAAGTCCAAGTGGGTGAAATTTTAGAGAAAATCGTTAGAACTACTCATATACTAATGAATTGTTGATAGTTATTTATCAGTATCATGCATACTGAATAAATAAATCATAATGAATACGATAAACATATCACTGTTGTGTGTAAAGACTATAATGATGAAAATCATAGAATGATAGTTGACTTCAGATCTTGTTAAAGGCATTGAGAACAGGAATTGGATGGAACTAGAAAAGAAGGTCTAGGACAGAGTGTAGCGGAGAATGCTGGTCGGTGGCCTAACAGGCGTAAGTAAGTAAGTAAGTAAAGGCATTGAAAGTAATTGTTCTTGATAACTTACATAAATTTAAATAATGCAAACGTGAAATTGATAAACGTCGTATTGTTACAAATGAGTTGTATTTTGAAAAACGGGAGATTTATTCGCCATCAAATTTGAAATAATCTTTTATGTAGGGATTTATTAGAATTATTGAATTAAAAGAACTCAAATTTATGAGTATAAGGTTTTGGAGATTATTGAAATTTATTGAGATCCCGATTGAATGTAAGTTAAACTTAACTTTGACCGACCCTGAAAATTCCTGGGTTCGATTTCCTATGTCGAGGTCGTAGATGGACTATGCTAAGGAGTCCCATAGTAGGACGAAACGTTTGTCCTGTACTTTGAAGTGTTTTTAACCATTGTATGATCTAGATCTACTCATGAGCTTACATTGAGAGACAACATCATCATGGTAGTCTTCACAAGATTCACAAGTCATCTGATTACCATAATCACAAATAAATAAACTTTTTGATCGTTCCATTTGTTGTAGCCGCTCACTTATCACGTTTGTTTTCTAAAATTCACTGTGAACTGATCGTAAGTGGGCATCAAGAACTGAAATCAGTGCTGTGACATTGAAATCCTTCAAATGCTTCTGATTAGCTCGTCCATAAATTAGAATCTCGCCGAAATGAATGAAAACGTGAGATGAATTGTAAAAAAAGATTACTAAAGTTTGATTTTTGGCATAATAAATTAGTTTAATCTAAAATTTTGATGATCAATATGATTTCCATTTTCTAAATAGATCAACTTGATGAAACTATCGTATTAAGTGACGAAACAGTGAGTAGTTTTTTTTTAAAAAAAACTTATCCAAATATTTGCTGTGATATTGGTTGTTTTTAAATTGTGAGTTACTTTGGGTTTCGAGCTGACTGATATGTAGCGGTAATGAATGTGTGAAATATTTAGGGAAGTGACGTTACCTAGGTAATTAGAACTCATCCAGTGTCATCATTTGAGATATTACTACTGATCTATACTAGACTCTATTGATTTTCCTTAGGACTAAAGCCATATTTATCGTGTGCATGTATGATCTTGCTAACTGAACTAGAGGCTATATTGCAGAATGACTTATGGATTTATATTAACACTTTGGATAAGACAGAAACGATATAACGATAAATTAATGTAATTAACCATAGCTTATAATCAACATACAGTTTACAGATAAATAACTGGTATGTAGTCACTGGATTTAGGTTACTAATATTATCATCGTTATTAATCACTATTTTTAGTATTCAAAGACAACAGCTGTAATCAGAACTATAAAGAATACTTGTTTTGTGAAGATTTGTGATACTATTATCTTCTCAGAAGGGGTTTGTGGAGATTTTTAGAAATTTCACAGATTAAATTAAACATGAGTCAATTGGAGCTAGACCACCATGGAAAACCTGGAAGCACTGGACACGGGGTGCGGGATCGTGGATGCGCACTGCTGAGGAGTCCCACACTAGGACATTGTGATACTATTATCTATCTGAAATCTAATTATTAGTATTTTAAAGCCAAGAATTTGTACACAGCTATGAATCAACCCATCAAACTTTATTATGAGTAAAGGTAGATAGAATATTATAGTTTTTGAGTGAGATCATGAACCGAGTGCCCTGGATTCGAATCTCGCAGGCGGGATCGTGGATGCACACTGCTGAGAAGTCTTACAATACGATGAAATAGCCTTCCAGTGCTTCCAGGATTTTAATATTGGTCTAACATCAATCAGTTCATGATTTCAATCAAAAACTTAATAATTTGTACAATCCAATACTGAGAATATTATAGATTACAGTTTTGAAAATGTAGTATCATGAAGGTTTCCTGATAGTAAGCAGGCTTTATAATACGTTTTTGATTGACATCATGAGTCAGTTGAAGCTAGACCACCATGGAAAACCTGGAAACACAGGACGGCCGTTTCATCCTATTGTGGGACTCCTCAGAAGTGCACATCCACGATCTCGCATCCCGCGAGATTCAAACCCAGGACCTATCAGTCTCGCGCCAGGCGCTTAATCAACTAGACCACTGAGTCGGCACTCAATGGTGTTCATTTCTAACCTCAACCAATCCATGAAATTGCGTGACGATCTCCGATTGTACTGAGGTAGACACCTGTTTTTACTGGACACGGATTAACTCCACTGGTCATGGCTTCTCACTAGAACTCCGAGGATTTTCTCACGAAGCTAGTCACTAGTGAGCACACATGTTAATTATCAGTTTAGGGGTTGTGGAGATTGGTAACGTTTTGATTGATATCATGAGTCATGAGTTATAATAAATAGTTCTATCATAAAACAATATAGAAATGAAACATTGTTCTATTCCAATGAATGTATTAAACAAACATTAAACTTTTTCATAATATGATAGAAAAGGGTTATTATTAGTTCACTAAGTAACTTTCTCTCTCTCTGTGTATTTCCTTTCATTTTTTGAAATTGGCATTAGCCTAAAGAAAATCCATCTCATATTCCAAAAGTGAGTTTCAAGTGTTAATAGATCCATCTTTATCATAGTTTTTCAAATGGTAATTAAAAGTCATCATCATAATTCTATTTAAATGTTTAACTGCATGAACTAAATACGCTTGACATAAATATGTATATATCCTCATACACAATCTTTCTTCTATACATTACTACCATTGAAGTGACTACTTCTATGAATTCGGTGTTCATCTTGTGTCAATGAAGTATACCAACTTGGACCGTTGTAATATATCTGGCTGGTCCTATGTTGTAGCTGACTGACTGACTAAGCATTTTCACACGAGAGTGAAAGTCTAGGTTTGGGTGGCAAATGTGCATTTTTTGGGGAGTGAGGGGTCTCGTAGAAAAATGAAACTGTCGTCCAGGGCTTGCATGTTTTTAATGGTGATCTAACAATGATCAATTCAAAACTTCAATGAAATTCAACAATCCCGACAACTCTATACTTAAAATAGTATATTTTGGAATGATGATTATACACTGTGAACTAGAATAGGTGTATACGTTCAACAGAATTGTGACATAAGTAATCGGAATAAATATAAGTAATATAAGATAACTATCTCATTAAAAATCAGATAAATTGTGTATGTTAACTAAATTGTGTATGAGAGACTAATAGACTATTTGGTTCTATTATTATTGCAAATTCTCAGTAAATTAGATACAAACCTCAAACCGCGAGGTATCTTTAATGGCTAACAGGACAATGAATTACATTATGATTTCAAATGCTAACATAAATGAAACTAGTTACTGACTAAAAAGAAGTAGTATACGGTAATCGACAGAACATAAGTTGAATAAGAAGAGAATGAAGATAGAGTATTTACAGTTTACATTGCAAATGAGTTTCAATCGGTGAGCAAATAAAAATAGGATGACAGGCACTAGATATCTGTTCTGTCTGAATATATAAAACTTCTCAACAATGTAATTTCAATATAGTCTTTTTCAAGAATTTAAAATTTCAAAAGGAATAAAAAAGTAGTATAAGCTTTACAACTTGACAACTAGATCTTTACATTTCTTTGCCAAGAGACAACTGAATTTATTGAATTGATGAGCTGATCAATGTTGAACCACCTTTAAAAACCTGCAAGCATTGAATGACCATTTCATCTTACTATGTGACCTTTCATTAGTCCATATCCACAAACCTGTACTCGGGAATCGAATCTAGGACCTTTAGTCTCGCATGAGAACACTTAATCTTCATATCACTGAATTGCCGTTTAAAGGTGTGGAGGCTTTCTTTTAAGGTTAATCACAAGCAAGTTTAAGAAGTAGTTCATTTCAAGACGACTTCAGCAGGATCTTTTACATGGTTTTTCATTCACTATTTTAAAAATAACCGTGAAATGATGATGGTTGTTCATGTAGATGACTTATCGGAGAAAATAACATTTCTTGAATAGACCAAGAGGACATTTAAAAAAAGACGATTCTAAGTCATCAAGTTACTTAACTTTTAGGTCTGAATGAAAACTTCAAGCTTGTACTACCTTGTTACTGTACAATTGCGGATGTAGTGGATTTGAAGATATTGTTTGTATGAATGATTTTAACAGACACTTTACAGAAAAAGAATCAATTTAAAACGGCGAAATAACTAAAGATTTTTAACTTCTAAAGACTTTCATAAATGTTATGAATAAGGAAATAGAGTTAGAACAAGTGCTTTATCAAAACTAGGAAGTATTTTACAAGTGGATAAGAATAACACTTTCTAAATTTAGCAAACTTGAGTTTTTGTGACTTCAGTTGACATATGCTTTGTCAATAAAAACTTTAAGTTTCATGCAAGACGACCATGGAGCGTGTCCAAGACCTTAATGTGCATTTTAAGACTTCCTTACTTACGTACACCTGTTACTCCCAATGGAACTTAGCCCACCAAGCAGCATTCTCAAGCCCATTCTGTCCTGGGCCTTCTTTTCTACTTCTATCCAATTGTTGTTCATTTTTCTCATGTCTGTCTCCATTTCTCCACGTAATGTGTTCTTTGGTCTTCCTCTCCTCCTTTATTTAGACTTGAGGATTCCATGTGAGCACTTGCTTTGTGACACAGTTGGGTGTTTTCCTCAATGTGCGTCCTATCCACTTCCAGCGCTTCTTCCTGATTTCTTCCTCCACTGGGATATGGTTTGTTCTCTCCCACAGTACGTTGTTGCTAATAGTGTCCGGCCGACGGATCCGAAGTATTTTGTGTAGACAACTGTTAATAAACACCTGTATCTTTGGATGATGGCATTCGTAGTTCTCCAGGTTTCCGCTCCATACAGTAGAACTGTGTTGACAGTTGTATTGAAAATTCTAACATTGGTGTTGATTGACAGACAGTTGTTTTGAGTTCCAGATATTCTTCAGTTGTGAATATGCTGCTCTTGTTTTGCTGATCCGCGCTTTCATATCTGCATCAGATCCACCGTGTTCATCAATGATGCTGCCCAGATATGTGAAGGTTTTCACATCCTCCAAATCTTCTCTGTCAAGTGTGATTCGATTGTTGCATACTGTGTTGTATCAGAGAATGTTGCTTTGCCCTTTGTGAATGTTGAGATCTACTGCTGCTGAGGCTGTTGCTTTACTGGTCGTCTTCTCCTGCATTTGTTGCTGCGTGTGCTATAGAAAAGTCAGATCATCTGCGAAGTTTAGATCGTCCAGCTGCATCCTAGCTGTCCTCTGTATCTCATGCTTCCCCTCAGATTTTGACGTCTTCATAATCCAGTCGATCACCAGGAGGAAGAGAAAGAATGAGAGTAAGACGTTAGTGTCTTTTTCTGTTGAAGGATCTTGATTAAGCACGCCGGTTCCACAAAATTTTAAAAACATACTGTTCAATCAAATTTCTTATTGATGTTATTCTTCCTCAATATTATAATATTTGTATGTATTTTTCTTTTTCTTTTAGTCTGCATTCATTGAAGAATTATGTAATGAAGCTTATAATCCAAATAATACATTTTGTATGAATACAGCATTAGATAAACAAGAAAACTTTATGAATTTCGATAAAACAAATGATCAAAATGTTATTGAAATATATGAAGAACAGGATAATACAAACGAATTATAAACAGGGATGTGAATAATAATGTTTGCTCAACATTCTATTATGCCATAATGATGATGACGATGATACTGATGAGAAAATCAACCGGTGTTGATAATACAGTTATGATATTCTGATTAAATTATCAAGAACGATGTTAAATCAATTATTTATGTAATAAAATTAATTCACTGATTATCATTGTTTTATCATCACCAAGGGGTAGTATATGGGATGATTCGTCTTGATAGTTTAGCTTCTTGGTAAAAACAGAATTTATCTAAAACACAAAGTAACAGTCTGAGAAAGATTGATTTCATTTCACTTGTAGGGGTTTAAATCTTCCCATTGTTTAGGTTATGATCAGTCTCTTTTGGTATATGTACTTTTTGAGCAGATTGTCTCGATTGAGACAACAGTTACAGACATTTTGAAGCAGAGAAAGATTGTGGCTAGTAGAGGAATTTAAAACGCAATTTTTATCTTATTTGAAAATTGTCAACTGGGTGTCTCTGGATCACACTGGGACTTGAACTAATAATGATATCAACATTATATCCTTTGAGTAAGTTAGTGGCCATCTGGACTCAGTAGATTATTTTATGACGCTTTACGTATTTTCAGAGAGTGGGCTCGAGTACAGGTGTTGTGGTATATGCTACTTATACTGACAGATATAAGCAGTGTATAGCGGCAATTGGAATTGGAATGCCTATCAGTAGAAGATTGAAATGAAGAAAGCAGTAAGGAAATCGGAGAGCAATCGAAATAACAACAGAGTTAGAGGAACAGTATGGTATGTAAAGGACAACTCAAAGAAGCTGTACAAGTGATGCATTTAATATAGGATTTTCATATTTTACTAAGCCACTGTATGAATTGACTTTACGCTCATGATTTACCGCTCACTACAGTGTGAACGTCAGTACTGGTGTAAAGGCACATGCAACTGACGAGTCCCAAATATGACAAGACGTGCGTTTTGAATCTTGCTAGCCACTACCGAAACTTTGCTCGGAAAATCCTATCTGGACAACACAATATAAATATATGTATAACTATTTCTAATCTTTTGGATAATGGCTTTGATTACTCGTACGGATAGCACATTTCAAAAGTACTTGTTAGATTCACTCAAATTTTCAGTGTCGGCCAATAGATTATTTATTAAGCTACTAAAATAGGTCTCAGCGAAAGGTTTATACACACTATTATGATTAATTCGTTTCATTCCCATAATTTAAGTCAACTACATCGTATATTGTTTGTGAATATTAACTTACTATGAAAATATTAGAAAGATCGATCACTTTGCGGGTGTAACACAGATGACATAATCATATCTTCTACTTAAAAAAAAATAAGAACCTAAATAATCCCGATATGATACGTTGTTATTTCAAGGCTTTAAAGTAATTCACAGAGACTGTTTATTTCTACATCAAACTTCATTGCCACCTAGTGTTTAAGAAAACTATCTAACGATAAGTTTGCAGCACTGATAAAAATAACACTGATCTCTTTTCTAAGTTCCATTTTACTATTTATGCACCATGCATAGATTATCCATGAAATTGGTATATAGTTATTATTATAATTTTAGAAGCAGAGATAGATGTGGCGTCATCTGAATGTACCTGCATCTTGGAGTCAATGTTCACTCTGGGATCCGAACCCAATGTTGCTCGTTTCAAACATCATCGCTTTATTCACTAGATCACTGAGTCCAAACGAAGCTTAATTCATTTGTACTAGTCGTTTAAATTTTCTCATTGCTATTCAATTTTGCAATTGATCAGTCTCTTTTTTTGCATGTATCCATCATCTGCAGATTGCTTCGATATTGCCATTAATCTATAAGCATTATAAACTGGTACATCAGTTGACAAGTCCAAAATTACACAAGACGCACGTCATAGATTCCACTGATATCCATCGTACATCTCTGCCTATAATGCTCGCGACTTAATGACAATATCGAGGCAATCCTCGTATAATGCATATATCGCCAAAAAGAGACCGATAAATTGTAATCCTGAATATCAATAAGAAAATTAAAACAACTAATACAAATGGTTTACAATATTAGGTTAACGAATTTTACACTTCTGTGTTCAATAATTTTGTTTTGGATTAGGCCAAAATGAATGAAACTAATTAATGTACAAATTATTACGCTAAACATGATCAATTGGAATTACAGTGTTTCTGATGTGATAATTTGTATTGTCTTCTTTTTCTTATGATTGTTTGTCCCGTTTCCAAAATCTACTTTAACTTCATTAATGTTGTGTAGGTTAAATCATTGTTTATAATTATACATATTATCATAATTTGTAACTAGACTATTTACAACTGATGAGATATGGTTAAATACAAATATGAATTCATTTCCACTTTTGAAAATTTGTTGTGAATATTTTGTTACAAATATGAAAAGTTTTCCCATTTAACGCAAGTTTATAGGTTGATAGAAAGCATAGAATTGTGTTTCAAACGAACCAACTGTTTTTGATAGAGTTTTATTCTCGTGGTCGTGGAATTCTCGTCGTTCTTCTGAAAGACAAACTTCAGGTAGAATTTTAACTCCACTACCAAACTATCCAGCTCAGAGAACAAAACTCCATCAAAATCAATCCACCTGAGCTACAAATCTTCGCCAACGTATCAGAACCAACTGTTGTATGTCCATCAAGTAACGATTACTACTAATGTAGACTCAATAATAGATTTTAGGATTACTTAACATTCTTTTCATGACACAGTGATGAACAACATCTCACTTTGGCAATACAATAAATAAATATAAATAAAATTCAGAAAGAAAATATCATTATAGAGTTGATGAGTAAATTGTATACTGTTTGAGAGTAAAAATATAGACCTTTGTATTTCAACTCAATAGTCTTTAAATGTGACGCACCTATTGAATAATTTGAGAGTCCTCGATTTGATCAGTGTCACGATTGTAGTTAAACACTGATGACAAGTTCTGTAATAGGACTAATCGTTTGTCAAATCCTGTCTATATTTTATTAGTCGTTCAGATGACATTAAACAGTGATCAAGATCCCCCGAATTTAGAGTTTGTTACATTAGTATAGATCATAAAGAAAAATCTAGCGAAAATCAGTACAATACATAACAATGTATTTACACTAGATTAATATAACTCTTTCAGTCGTGTTAAATATTGGCTTTAAAGTATACAAACATCATTCTTATGTGTTCAATTTAATCACTTTACCATCGGTTATTCTTCAATATTATTTTGATCTAATTTTTGAATTATGTATGATCTGTAAATGAAAGAAATTCAAATTATTATTTTATGTATTCATTTAATTTAAAACAACATAGATATAAGCGAACAATATTGTTTTCGATTAGATCCTCATCATGCTTTACTCTAATAAACAGTAATATATATATATATAAATGAAATGACTCAGAATCGATCACAATAGCGTCGGTGTTTACACTCTTTGTCTTCCTTTAAACTATAAGATTAGAATCGCTTTATATCTTTCTTTCTATGAAATAACTAAGCACTTAGTATTCTTATCACAATTAGTACCTGAAGTTTATGCTGATGATGATGTCGTTCAGAAAAACGATGAAAGCTCGACGACCAAACTATCCACCTCAGAGAACAAAACTCCATCAGAAACAACTAATACACCTGTCATCACATTACCAAATTGTACTTACTCACTTATTATGTTTAGTTATGCAATCTATTCCACTGTTATTATTGACTCTATTAGTCAAGGGACGATTGTTCCGCATGGCACTTCATTCCGTTCTACTTTATAGCTGCGAAACGTGGCCATTAAGAGTAGAAGATACGCGTAAGCTACTAGTATTTGACTGTAGATGCCTTAGAAATATTGCTCGCATCTGTTGGGATCACTAAAGTTAGGGGGCGGCCAAACCGAAACGTGGCATCAGTCCACAAAGTCACCAACTTCTAGTTTTAGCCATATTGGTAGATGCAGACTACTTGGTTGGGATCCGCGTGATTATAGTAACCAATGGTTTGAGACGCTGAGTGATATGGCTCAGAATCGATCAAAATAGTGTCGGTGTATACACTCTTTGTCTTCCTTTAAACTATAAGATTAAAATCGCTTTATATCTTTCTTTCTACGGACTAATTCTTTCATCCTATACTATGTCCTTATATACAATCTTTTCTCTATATATGATGATTGAATCGAAATACAATATTGTTCGTTTATATCTGTGTTGTTCTAAATTATAGTGTGGGAAAGTTTTCCAAAAATTCATTTAATTCCATCAAACTTACATACACATTTTCACTGTTTTTTCTTGAATTTTTATACGAAAATTATGAAATAATTCTTTCCAATTTAATTGTTCAAATTTTTCTATTCTAATATGTAAATATATAAAAATAAAAAAAGAGATTACATAATACTAACGATTGATTTCACTGGTTGAAATCATGAGTCGATTGAAGCTTGACCACCATGGAAAACCTGGAAGCACTGGATGGCCGTTTCGTCCTAGTATGGGACTGCTCAGCAGTGCCCATCCACGATCTCGCGCCCCGCGAGATTCGAACCCAATAGTGTACGGCGGCGCAACTTCGTGGATTGGTTGAAGGGCGGCCTGCTTGAGCATCTGGGCTACCTGTTCCTGCCATCTAGATATTTCAACAAGTTATCTATTTTTGTTTGTTTTAATATATCATTATGTTTATTAATCGCATGACCTATTCTGCTGCTTTTCTGAAAAGTGTACAACCTTTCGTTGTCAAAGTTACAAAAAACTCAATAAGAGCCAACGTGGTTGCTGGCAACATACAGCGAAAAGAATGCACATTATTCAGATGTTCATTTACTGAACTGCTAACATATAACTGGCGATCACTCAATATTTATCGCCAGAACCGACCAAGAAGAAAGAAACGGAAACTTGTTGAAATATTTTACGCTGAGAATTCTATATTGTACCAAAAATATAATATTGAATAAAGCTGATAATAATAATAACAATAATAATAAGTAAAAGACATTAACACTGTCGGATTCCAGCCGGCTCAGTGGTCCAGTTGATTAAGCGCCTGGCGCGAGACTGATAGGTCCTGGGTTCGAATCTCGTAGGGTGCGGGATCGTGGATGCGCAATGATGAGCAGTCCCATAATGGACGAAACGGCCGTCCGGTGCT